GTGCATGTCCTGGATCTCTGTGATTGATAAGTCACGTCCACTTGCCCAGTCAGCTGGCCATGCCCTAATATTCTGCCTCACTACTACATGAAAGCTTCAACATTAGTAGCTATAATCGAGTAACTCTTCAATTCATATCACCAGAAGGGGTGGTAGTAAGAGTTTTTGCATTCTACCCACTTTCCTAAGAATTAAAATTGTCAGACTTGTTTCCTAAAAATATTTTAACTCTTCCTTATTAATTATAAATGACACAATTTATCACACATTCATCTAGTTCCAATGTACCCATCACACTGTCATCTGCATGACATCTGACATACTGTGTTACTGTCACCTTGCTGGGTCATTTTTTGATGACAGGGTTTTTATCTGCTCATTTTTGTGTCCCCACTGCCCAGCACAGTGAATGATGACAGGCATTTAGTCAGTGCTCAGTATACTATGTTGGCCAAAACGTAAAACATGAAGAGATCAAAAAGCAGACTGGCTTTTTGAAGTGGCTGGAATCAAATGGACTGAAAACTGGGATTTGCAAACACAGGAACCTGACAGAATCATCTAGTACAGACACTTGAAAATTCTTATAGGGCAGCAGAATCCACCGTCTATGGAAAGATATGTACATGAGTGCCCCAAGACAGACCCTGGGGTATTCACTATTTGTAAAATCCTCAAAGCAGATATCATGCAGACATCCATCTGTCATTGAACTGATAAGAAGTTCTATCCCACGCTGGAACATAAGACAGTGATGAGGATGGATGATCTTCAGCTGCAACAGCAGTATGGGAGAATTGCATGATTTTAGGTTCAGTGAAAGATGCTGCATCAGGGAGCCCATGCAGTTCTATTTACCTGAGGTTCAAAACCAACCTATTGTAGAAGTCCTGATACTGATTATTTTTGGTATGGAGTAGGTCCTCACTAGAAGGGAGAATGATAATTTTGCCAATGCACCTTTTACTTATTTTGTGTTTAGATACCATAAATATTAAGAAATTCACCTTTTTTTAAAAAAAATGTACAGTTCAGTGAATTTTGACAATCTAACTAGACAAGGTCTAGACGATTTTTGTCAGTCCATCCCAGAAAACCCATCCCTCATAAACCTTATGTTCTATTTCTCGGCCTTGGCCATTGGTTGTATGGATGTGTTCACTCTTTAAAAATTCATTAAACTCTCACTGAATGCATGTACTTTTCTGAATGTAAGTTACACTTTCACATAGCATTGAAAGAGTATTATTTTTTAAAGATTGACCCAAAGAATAGCAAGTTGGTTATGCGAAGGTCATTTGTACAGTAAAGTGGGTGGGAGAGGAGTTGTGGGGAAGGTGGTGATGGGGTGACATAGAAACAGCAGACAGGGATGGAACACAAAGTGGATCTGCCAGGGTTTTTTTGGTGCTGGGGATCAAACTTGGGACCTTGCACTTGCCAAGCAAGTGCTTTTGCTGCTGAGTTTATCCCTAGTCAGATCTGCCAATTAGTTTTATGTCAACGTCCAGTTTTCTACATTTGCTACAGTGGTGTGAACCAGCCTTTATCTGCCATACCATCTCCCCATCCTTCATTCACAGGGAAGAGTGTCCAAGAGGGACTCAGTGGTGAATTTTTTTTCCTGAGACACAGAGCAGGTGGCCCTCATCTCCACTCTGGGATGCTAGATGAGGACCCTGAAATGTTCTTGGTAGGAAGTCCTGCCCCCCATAGCAACCAGATCAGAACACATTGCTCTGTTTAATTGAAGGAGCCCTAGTCACAAGGTGGCCCCGAGACTGCGGGCTTTTGTAGATTACTTTCCAGAGGTCTTCATAGTAACCCTATGGGGAAGATGTGAAGGATGCTTGAGTCTTGGTCTCCCCACTCTCCCCTCCCTTCCCCACCCCCTCCCCCTCATTCTTTTGTTTGTGCTATAATGAGTCATCTCCCTAAAGAGAATTTCATTCTATAGGACCTTTGAGTTTGTCTTTGTTATTCCCTTTCTTCCTCTTTGTCCATTTACGGTATTCTTCCAAAGATAAAGGGAAAAAAGCCCACAATAACAAAAAGCAACAACAAAGAAACCCCAAAATACAAAGCACCAGAAAAACGATGTGTAGAGGGACACAGAGGAGCACAACACTAGAAAAAGCGAAAGTACATGTCTAGTGGTATAAAAATTTGAAGTAGTGCTTGTTAAAATTTGCTAAAATTCCTTTTCACTAAGGAATGAAAGGCATACTTCATTTCGACAGTTCCCTTCGATGGCAAATAAATCTAAGATTTAACCATGACCTTTGTGAAAAATAAACTTAACTGCATAAAAAAAATTCCTCTTTCTTTTTCAAAAGTAAGACTTGAAATTTTTATATCCATTGAGTCATATTCTTGAAGCAATAGGCTGATTAATTCAAGAAATGTTACTTTCCCAATTCAAACATGACATTTTGAAAATCATACATGAATTACATGTTTCAAGAATGAAAGACTTTTCTGTGCCATTTAAAAGATTTTTTCATTTTGAGGGCAATCATGAATATCTATAAGGGTACATTTATTACTCCCAGAACAGATAGAAAATTAGCAAAGTCATAAAATTCTTACTGAGCTTTGCTATTGCAGCTGTGTTTCAACCCAGTGCATTGCCAATTCCCCTGCCACTAAAATGGCTAAGGATGATGTTATTTTTGCCATTACAGGCAAAGCATTGGTCTTGGCATATTGGCCTAGGGATCTAAAAAAATTATCTGTATTTAAGGTTTGTTCTTCTGGTAGAATTCAACAAAGAGCTGCTAGCCCCATAAGTTTGTTTCAATAAATCTTACCTTGCGATTCTAGAAAACGACCTTCTTCTAATCCCATGTGGTAAGCAACCCTAAACCTCATAAAAGCAACTGACTATAAACTTTCTGCCTTAATTTACACTACTGTGTGCAGGATCTATACACATGGATGTATGTTTCTGCATATAGCTACCCAGTAATTACTGAGGCAAGCCTTTAATTTGTCTGAAATTGCGCAGAGATAATGGTGATGATCCACACATTTTTCCATTGGAAACTGTAAATGGGTTACAAAGAGAGAGATTTGCCCCATCCTCTCATTCCAAGTCCCACTTCCTGGGAAAGTTTTTCCATAACTGTGTATCAGGACAGAGCTGATGCTCCTGAGGGTTTGACCACTATGACTCAGGTGACTTGAGAAAACTCAACTTGGTCTTCGGAGTAGCATGGGTTTATCTACAGTCCTCAAGGAAATGAATTCTACAATTAAAGTGTTTAAAAACTTGTAAGAGTTTATGCTTTCAATATGAGGTGACACACAGAGACTCCTATATTGAGAGCTTGATCCCCAGTACACAATATTCAGAAGTGACTGGATCATGAGGGCACTGGCTTCATCAATGGATTAACGGATGAGTTTGTAGGTGGGTTTTGAGGAGGCTGGAGGAAGTAGACTCAGGGGGCCACACCTCCAAAGGGTGTGTCTTGTCTCCAGCCCTTTCTGCTCTGGCCCTTTCCTTCTCTGCTTCCTGGCTACCACAAGGTGAGCAGCTTTTCCCTGCTGTGTCTACCATGGTGTTTCTACCTTGCTAGACCTCAAATCAATGGAGTCCCCTGAACATGGACTGAAAGCATGAGCCAGAATAACCTCCTGTTGGCCACTTTTCACAGATATTTGTGGGGCACAGACTGGCAGTGCTCTCAAGCCTAGCTCTACTTCCTGGACCTCCAAGAGGCTCATCAGCATTATGGAGTGGTGTGACACATAGCAGAGCCACAGAGAATGTGGAGTGATGCATAGTACTTCACTACCTGACTTAATGCTTTGCATCATATAGTTTCCCTTCTCTTTGCCTGTTGAGCAGGATGTACTCTAGGTGACCTCCAGGAGGAAATGCTAGAGTCAGACTTTGATGATGGATGGCAGCGTGATCATTTGACAGGAGCCTAGATCCTAGCTCATCACTTAGAGGAGGGCTGATTAGCCAGGAGCATACTCACTAATTAGTCTCTTACTGTGTTAAGCCATTACTTTTCTGAGTTCCCTGTTATCACAGCTAACATCATTGCACGATCATACAAGTGTGATAAAAGTCTGTCTTTCTATCACTTACCATTATCTCAGGTTATGAACTTCCTGTCAACATCTACCCTCCAACTCTAGAACATTTATCAGAGGCTCTCATTGCTGAATGTTTTTATCTCTTCTTATTATTCAGTTGACCTTCCCATCCATCTCATCTACGTTTTCTGCTTGAGTGTATGTCCTGTCAGGTGAACCCCTCATATCAAAGTCAAGGCATCCCACCACTACCCAATTCATTTTGGAAAAAATTGTCTTCCTAGTATCAGAAACCAAATCTGCTTCCTTGACACATGGAACTGTTGATTCTCTGTGTTAGTTCTGTTGCATAACATTCCTTCAGAAATGAATAAGGCTTCTCATTCCATAATTAGATGAAGATCCTAAATATAAATATCCTAATGCATCGAATGGGTTTAGGGCAGTGCACCTAAAGTGTAAATAATCCTTTCTAAGGCTGCTGCTAAGAGCTTTTTCATAAGAACAGGATTTTTATGAAGAAAACTTAAGGTTCAGATCAAGATTACCAAACATACTAGGTATAGAAGGACACCAAAAATCTGATCTTTTTTATTTTTGTAAAAAGAGTGCCAGGTTAGAAAATGAAAAATGGGGCCAAAGTGGGTATTTTGCACTTTGATTTCTTATTTAGAAAAGGAATTATTTGCATGATAAGGTGGTTCTGCTTATTACTGTAACTGCAGAATTTTACTTGAAAATGGACTTGCTCACTGGAGCTGTCTTCACTTGCTTTTAGCCAAAAGGCCGAGAAGCGATACCTGAGCTGTCTTAAGCATATGCTCTGGCTTGGTTTTCTTCACTTGGTGTGGATAAACAGCCACATGTGAGTCCGAGGGTTTCACCTACTTGGGAGTTGGGTAGACACTATTGGTGCCCATGGTGCCAACTTACACTGACTGCCACTGTGTCAATCAATGAGCCTTTCATAACCACCTGGGTTGAATTTTCTCTCTCCTGGCTTGCTTTACTAGGGCTGTTTATGGTACTTGTATCATAAATCAAGGATGCGGGTAACACTACATTTTATTATGATTTTATTATATATTCTCTTTTCCTGGAGTTTTGCAAATAAAATATTGCATAGGAACCCAATCTTTATTTGTCCTAAGTTTTACCCTACAGAACCAGAACCAGATCATCTTACAGTTGCTTGATGCACAAGACCCAATGACTCAATAAATACTTTACAAAAAATAATGCAGTTTTCATTATTCTTAAAACATAAAAAAATTAGGATTTCCCAGACTTCAGATACCCCCTTCCCTTTTTATATTTTATTTACTGAGGATATAGTGGTGGAAATAACATTGTTAGATGAAATGAGTCCATTTTTTTGTTTGCTTATTTATTTTTATTTTATTTCATTTTTTTTTTTTTTTTTGCTTTTTTCCTTTGGGAAAGTGCCACTCTTTTTATGTCCAAACTTCCTGCAATCTTCTGAACCTACTAAGACATGAGCAGAAATTCTACCACTTGGGGGGCTTTTAGCAAAATCATAACATTGTGCTAACATTCCTCTCTTCTTTTAAAGCCATTTTAAAACCAGGGCTCAGATCTGCCCCTAAAATTCCTCAGTCTAAGGCAAGAGAAATTCGGAATCTGAGACTCCAGCAAGGTGCCATATGACTACATAACATTTGGTTTAAGGTGGGCGTTCTCTTGTTTTGATATGATTCCATTGCACTATTTTTCTGTAAGGAAACCATTGCAAAATTCCTTTTCTCTCCCACTTCTCTAGGCCCTGCCCTTTCTGATTCTCACAGAAGTGATTAAATAGCTTTACAAGGACAACTCCAGAGAAAAGGTTAAGCTTAAGTCACATTCATATTAAATAAGTTATATATAAAAACTGCTTATAATGTTTACAGCTTCAGTCTCTTTCCTCCTTTGGGTGTCTGGAAACACCAGATCATACTCTCGAGCATCCAGGGTTCCTTTTCTGGCTGCTCTGGTGTCCCAACCTCCTGCCCACATGGCCACCTCCTTGGAGGTCTTTGCATGGTAAGGGTGGCTTCACATGACTATCACATGGGCCTGGTGCACATCCCTTGTGTAATTTATAAAAAATACTCATGTGGTATATACAAATATACACTTAAAAACACGGGAAGACTTGGGTGATCAGTGCAGTATGTCTGTGTCTCCGAATCGGAAGTGGCACGGGCGCGCCTTGCCATCCCTTCAGTACTCCCTGGCTTCCTGGAACTGCTTGATGTAATCCTCATCTGAGGGGCTCTCCGCACACTTCTGCCCATTGTTGGGTGGCCGTGCCTCATTGTACCTGCTCCAGTCACCCTTGCAGATGATCCAGGGCAACACATCCACCTTGTAGTGCAGCTCAGCAGAGAACTCGGTGCTGATGAGGTTGGGCGTCCCTGCCCCTTTGCCTCGGGTGATGAGCTGCATGTTGTCACCATAGCAGCAGTGCTGAGCAGCCAGAGTGGTGCTCTCCAGCGACAGCATGGACCGAATGCAGTAGCGGGCCGTGGGCTTGTAGATCTCTAGCTTCTCTTTGGGCCCACTGGCGTCCTTCCAGCGGAACTCCTTGTGCTTGATGCGGTCGAAGATGTCCGCAGTGCTGTAGGCCACCTCGGTGGGGTAGGTGCAGGGGCAGCTGGGCAGGTCATTGATCACCTTGTGCATATACTTCTTCAGGAATTCGCTTTTGCAGCTCATCCATCGCTCACAGCTGTCTGTGTCTAGAAAAGCCGAGAGAGAGAGAGAGAGAGAGAGAGAGAGAGAGAGAGAGAGAGAGAGAGAATGTGTGTCTCTCCACTTACAAAACTGAGTGGCCAGAGAGGACAGAGAAGTCAGCAACTTCCCTCCTAAAGTCAGGAACCCCAGCAGGGATCAGGAACCAGTGAGCTAAAGTGAAGGCTGGGGACAGAGGTGGGCTCATTCTCAGCACCCCTGAGCTTGGGAACCTCTTTGTTAACAAGGCCTCCTCCCAGTCCCCCATTTTGCATCATGGCAAAATTTTGAACACACCAAAGAGTAAACAATATACTTATTTAATGACCACTCACATTCCATCATCCTCAGATTTAACTATCATATTTACTCTAGTATTTTAAAAATTATGTAGAAATGTGTATTATTACACATTTCTCTAAGTTTTCGTAGGCATCTAAAAACCCCACAAAACCCCAAAATCTAAAAATAGGATATGTTCTTAGATAACTGTAGTGTCATTATCAATCCTAAGAAACTAACAATCTAGAGAATTATATTTAATTTCCTCTTAAGTGGTAAAGTGAGGGGAAAGGCTTCCAAGGGACTCTGATACTCCTGGATTTCACACCTGCCATTCACTGACTGGTTTAAGCTGAACTCCCAGCATCTTAACTTCAGGCGGATGATAATGATTGCATGCTAATTCATACACCAAAGTAGCTCAAAGAGGAAGGGGGCTCGTACTGTGTTTGGTTCTTACAGTATTATAAAATATTGATTACTCGCAAACCTTTAAGAGTTAGCTGACTCCAGTCATAATTGTGGCTCCTCGCTTCATCTGACAAACCACAGATGTATCTAACTGGACCTGCACTGGTCTTGTGAACAGGGAGGGAGGTGGTGTTGCCTCCTCAGGCAACACCAGAGTCCCCAGCTCTGCACAGTCCCTGCCTGACCTTTCACTCCCAGCTTCTGAGAGTCTGGGACCTCTGGTGTAGCCAGTGATCCCATTTGGATTCTTCTAGACCCCGAGGCAGAGATTCCAGCAGGACTAGTTTCTTGGGAGGTTATTCCAGGACACAGCAGCAGAGAAGCATGAAAGGGAGGGCAGCCAACATGGGGCGTGGCTCCAACAGGTGAGGGGAAACAGCCACGGATGGCCCCCAGTTCAGGGGAGATGAAAAGGGCCCTGCCGTGAGCCCTGTTTCATGCTCTGGACAAGAACTTACTGCAAAGAATTCCTTTTCCCACAGGACTTGGATGAGATTCCTAGTTGTGCCCCCCCCCCCTTATGGGTGACAAGCCCAGACACAGACCCTCCAAATTCTTTTCTTTGCTTCATAAATGATTAGCTGAATTGCACATCATGTCCCCACTACTGATTAGAACAGAATGCACCTTAACCAAATTTTGATTTTCCTTTCTTCAAGGCCCTGGGCTTTGGCCTACTGTAAGCCTGGGGGAGTACAGACCTCTCCTAAAGGCACTGCCAGGAAAGTGAGCAGGCCTCAGGATAAACACTGAGACCCACTGTCCCATCTTACCACCCTCCATCCACCTTTTCCTGCTGCTCTTTTTAGCTTTACCTACTTCTCTATAGAGGCGCTCTCTATAGAAAGGGGGCTTGCAGGTCTTGTGGACACTGCATGGGCCCTACTGTAAGAAGAGGGAGATAATACCTTACAGTCTCTCCTACTACTTCAGGATGTGGTTTTATCTACGGGCCCTGGGTATTATCCACCAACTCTTATTATCACCCTAGTGTGCTGCTGCTGGCTCACATCTGCCCTGCAGTCATAGGGCAGTGAGCTTGAGGGTGAGAGACACTCTTATGCAAAGAAACAAGGAGGCTACAGCTGAAAGTCTGGGGTGTAGGGATAAGGTGGAGGAGGGAGGGGTGTGGGTATACCACTAACAGTGTCAATTTCAGTGGGCTGTGGGGGAGGTAAGCTGAAGCATGAGAGGTAGAATGTGGGATGCATGAAGGAGGGAAAAAATAAAAAGGCAATGTTCAAACATGAAGGAGTGTACGGCACGGCACTGGTCCAGAGACATGGCAGGGGTCCTGCGCAGGCTTCCTGTGAGAGTGGGCTATGGGCACATGGCTGATCTGAAGCCACCAGCAGGGACTCCTCCTGGGTCCGCCAAGGTCTACCCTCTGGGCCATGCACTGCCAGGGCAGTCTGGAGTAGGAAACATACTCCTTTTAATTGCAGCAGAAGCTATAGAAACTATAGGGAAATAAGACCGCTGGTGTCAGATCATGGCTGTCTTGTTCAGTTCAGCCCTATTCAGAGGGCACTAGGGAGCCAGGGAAGGTTGGTGAATGATAGTGAGCTATTTATGAACTGAGTTATGCAACAAGAAAATGAAACCAGTGCTGATATCAGTGAAAAGAGCCCAGGTGAGACACCTGGGCAGGAAGTGCGTGGTCAGAGAGTCAGTGTGTCAGGTACTGGCTGTAGAGTTGTAGGGGAAGAGCAGAAGCCTTCAGAAGCCACTCAGTGCACAGCCAGGTGCCTGGGAAGCTCGGGGTGGTCTGAGTGGGCAGTCTGCAGCAGCCTGGGCCCTCACCAGTAAAACAGGACAAGAGAGGACGGGGCATGGCTCATGAACCCCAGAGGCCTGGTATGGAGTGGATTTCATGCTAAACTGCCTGGTTTGATTGAACCTGCTTAGCAACTCTGCAAATGAGCAAGTTCTACCTCCCTGTACACTAGTTTTCTCATTTTTAAATTAGTCCTAAAAATAGCACTTCTTTCCGAAAATTAGGCTGAAGATGAGATGGGAGGGAATGAAGAGTATGCACAGGACTATGTCCTGGGTGTGGCCAGCTGGGACCTGCAGAGGCTGCTCTCAGCACTGAGTTCCACCATCCCATGTCTGGGACTGTCTGACTGAGCACTCATGGTCACAATGACAGCTAGCTCCCTGTAGGCAGTGTTGTCTGCAAGGTCCAGTGTCCCCTTGGGAGGGCAAGATCTTTGGGGACAGAATTCATGTGGCCCCAGAAAACGGCTAAGAATTTCCCTTCCAGGGTGGAGGGCATTCTAATTCATCCACTGACTTATTTTAAATTATTTTCAAGTGTTTGCAGGGTTTTCTTTTCTCTTTTTTTAAAATTAATTTTATTGAGAAACAAATAGTAATGAGACAGCTTCAAAACCGATTAATAGGACAGTTTCAATAATTAATACATTGTCTATTGTTGTCTTCTTAGTGGTTATTCATAGTACAAGATGCAGACATGATATGCTGTCCACAAACACTATTAGTACAAATCTTTCTATTCATTGAATTAAGAGAAGGTAGCTATATATCTATCCTAGCTATTTTTTAATGAATTTTATTGAGAAACAGATAGCAATAATACAGTTTCAAAACTGATTAATAGGACAGTTACAATAATTAATACATTGCATATTGTTGTCTTCATAGTAGTTATTCATAGTACAAGATGCAGACATGTTATCCTGTCCAAACACTATTAGTACAGATCTTACTTCTCATTGAATTAAGAGAAAGTAGCTGTATATCTATCCGAACTATTTTGTATATACAGATACAAAATGGTCCTTCATTTATGTCCCCCTCTTTCATTTAGTTTTGTCAGAGATGGGTATTCCATTGCCATTTAAATATTGTAGGTGCGTGAATTCAGCAAAATAATCCAATATGGTCCAGTAGTTGTAGTGGATTATCCATAGGACTGTGTAGACCTCAAAGTCATCTCTGAAATTGCTGGGCTCCAGACTTTGTTCCCTGCTCTAGCAGTGCTTTCTACCATCCTCTTTTTTATTTATTTATTTATTTATTTTTAGCAGTTTAGTAATACTTTTATTTTTTTATTTTTTGTCAGAACCAGGAATTGAACTCAGGCCCTTGCGCTTGGCAGGCAAGAGCTTATTTTATTGAGTTGTCTCCCCAGCCCCTTGCAGGGTTTTCAGTGTGCTGGTCATGTGCTAAATGTTTTACAAATATTAGATCATTAAATTCTGTGTAGCTGAGGTGGGCACTGTTGCCTCTTGCTCTTTTGTAGATCAGAAAACTTGAGACAGCACTGGGTAGAGAAACTTGACCTTAAGCCCATCTGTCTTTCTCATCTCTGCCTTATTTGCCCTTCTCATCTTTTATTTGCCTTTCTGAGTCCTCATTCTGTGCCTCTCCAGTCGTGGAAGGTCGGTCTATCAACAGACTCCTCCAACCCTGACCTCTCATGGGAGGACCCAAGAAGAGGCCAGACAGGGAAGAGTTCAAGCTCAGATCGCTTGTTTCTTTGGCTCCTCCCTCTCTCTCCACTGCACTGTCCTCATTTCTTCTGTGAGCCAGGACTGATGTCACATGGTTCTCTTGCTGGGCTCTGGTCACTTCTCCTTCCCTGGGCCCTTCAGGCCATGAAGTGGTAAGGGCTGCCCACTGTCATCAGCTTTGGGGTTCAGTACAGCCCTTGTTTGGTTTCCCCCCACCTTGCTACAAGAATGTAGCACAGCAGCGTGTGCCAGAGGTTTAGGAAAACTTGCAGGAGAGGGGAGCGTATAATATTGAGAAATTTTCTCTCTCTGCTCCCTCCCCTCTGCCAGAGAACAAATTTTATTGGAGACACACACTAAAGGTTGAGTGAGTACAGGCTCCAGGGGGCTGAACTCCTGCCGTGCTGAGGGAGAGGGACCCACTGGCCTCCCACTGTGGAGTCCTGAAGTTCTAGGTCTCAGTTTGCTGGAAGAGGAACAAGATCGCTCTTTTGCTGGGAGCCTTTCCCTGAGCAAGAAATATGCAGGGAGAGCTGGACCCCAGAAGAGGAAAATGAAACATGTACATGGATCCAAGGATGGCATTGCAAAGGCAAAAGGAATCTCCAAAGAACTAAATCAATATTTGGATTAAAGAAAGAAAAAAAATATTCTTACCGACTTCAAACAGCTTGGTGGCATTAAACTCCTCACTTCCCGCAAGCAGACTCACTTCAGTGGCTGCTGTCCTGAAAGTGTCTTCAATGCCTAGACACAGACAAGAGCTCATTTTCTCCTAGTTCTATGGAAAAAAGTCACCCCCTCCCAAATAAAAAACAAATACACCTGAACAAAGCTTTTCTGTATTCCCTTCTACTCCTGGGCTGAAACTTGCCAACAGAGGAAACAGTAAAAAACAGGTAGTAGCACATAAAATATATTAAAATCCCAGATCCCATTTGGAGCACGAAATCTGATCTAAATGTGTCTAAAATAAGTCCTGAGGAACTCCTTCCCTCGGTCTGTGGAGGAGGTTTGGGCAGTGGGGTATACAAGTCAGGGTGCTCGTCTGGAGGCATCAGGGTGCCAGCCTAACCAAGAGGCAGCACAGTGTGGTGGGTAATGACTGACTGCCTGGATGCAAGTCAGTAGGGGCTGTGTGAAGTAGGGCCAGCCACCTCCTCTATTGTGCCTCAGTTTTGTATCTCCAAAGTAGGGAGAACAGAAAGAAAGCCTCCCCCCACAGAGCTGAGAGAATTACATGAGTAGTGTGGGAAGAAAGCAGCTGGAGCAGGAGGCTCAGGGCTAAGTGCAAGCTGAAAGCTTCCTCTTCAATATCTAGCTGATATACTGTCTGTATCTAGGGGATATAGCAGTCCCTAGCCAACAACCGGGCATCTCCCATTCTGGGATTTTTGCGCTGAGGAAAGACCAAGTTGGGGTCACTCTGAGGAACGGAGGCAGCCTGCTTTAAACTTTCCAGCTCTCCCATGCTCTCCTCAAAACCCCTACCCCTGCCAACTTCTTTGCAGACAGTAATTCTGCACAAGGTAAAGCAGGATGAGAAAGAGAGGAAGGTCATGAAACTTGTCTACTAGGCATGACTTGATTTCATTTAAGGGCTCTCTGATGTTATGTGAGCCCCTTCAAACGTATTTGTGGGGTTAACATGTGAATATACTTTACACTGCCAGGCCAAGGCAACCTAAAAGGCATGAGCAGAGTCACTGTCCGCACAGCTGTCAGTGATGCCAAAAAGTCAAGAAGGAAGCCTTCAGGATGGTGGCAGGGAACAGCCTTCCCATTTCCATAAGAAATGTAAACCTACACTTGAGGTCTGAAAGAGAACACTCCAAGCAAGTCCCTAAGCCTCACTCAATGCTGTCTGGGTCTGTGTGTGACCTTTCTGAGGGCACAGGAAGGATTCATTGCTTAAGAACACTGGATTCAACTTCATTACTGATCCCTAGCTGCTGCCTCAGGGCCTCATTTTCCAAAGATGCCAAGTTGGAACAACAATAAATACCTATTCCATGAGGCCATTGTGTGGATTAGATGAAATGATGCTCTTACAAACTACGGGAAGTTGATCTTCACATACTTAAAAACTCTTGTTCTTCATCATCTTCTGTTTTTTCTTCAACTCCTTTTTCATCAGTCTTTCCCTCCCTCTTTTCTTCCTCCCTCCCTCCCTCCCTCCCTCCCTCCCTTCCTTCTTTCCTTTCTTCCTCCCTCCCATTGTCCTGGAAATCAAACCCAGGGTTGCAGGCATGCTAGGCAAGTGCTCTGCCACTCACCCACATCCCCAGCTCTTTTCATCTCTTTCTGTTCATCTCCTTATCAGTGTCATCACCTTTATCTTTTTCTTCAGGGTCTCTTCTTTTTCCATGTTCCTTTTCTCCTCTTCCTCCTCCTCATGCTATTATTATTTATTGGTTGGTTCCTGTCCATTCAAAACCCAATCACTGGGTTTCCCACTCAGCTCATTATGATAGACATGAGAAGGATCAGGAAAAGTAACTTCATGGTTGCTCCACTGCTTTGAAATCTGTGTGGCTGTCACTGAGCCAGAACTGCCACTACTTGCATTTCAGCCCCACTTCCATTTGGCATGTGCCCATTTGCCCACATACACACTCACCCCAAAGGATCCCTCTTTCCTCTCTCCTTACAAACCCCTTGTGTTTTCACTTCTCTTTGGTTCTAAAAGTCTCTGGTTTGAGGGAAGATTGTCTAGGGGTAGCAAAAGGAAGCCTGGCATACAGGGTTCAAGTTTTCTGTCTCTAAAAGTTCTTTAAGATGAAGCCATTTGGAATGTGTGGTTTCCTGAAAAGGCCTGAGATATTATTGTAGGCTGGAATTCTCCCTGGCAGTGGGAACATACGGTCAAACTATTGCCCAGGAGTCAGTGAGCTCTTGTCAGAGAGTAAAGGGTCCGAGAGTACAAATGTTAAAGTTTGATTATTCTTCTGTGTGTGGTGCTGGGGATCAATCCAGGGCTTTGTGCATACAAGGTAAGAACTTTACCCCTGAGCCACATTCCCAGTGGGTTTATGGATCATTTACAACTGTCATGGTTGCGGCCTCCTCTTCTTT